AATATCTTACATTCCACTAATCAAAATAAGAAAATAGACTTTTCAAGGTTCTTTTAGCTTTTCTCTTGTGGCAAGGGTAGGGCTGAATTAGAGAGTTTTGCTTCTCAGCCTTGGATGCATATGGAATGTACTATGAAAACATGTTACATCTTGTTATACAACATGTTTTGTGGTTTAGCCTATTTAACACTCATTTAGCTTTAGAAGTCTATAGTTTGATGCTTTCACCAGATTTGACAACAGCCATTATTTCTTCAAAAATTTTTTGGACCAATCTCTTTCTCCTCTCCTTCCAGGACTCCAAGGACACAAATGTTAGGATTTTTGTTTTGGCTTCACAGGCTCTGTTCATTTCTTGCCCAATATTTTCCTCTCTGTTTTTTAGATTAGTTGTGGTACATCTATTTTACTTTAAATTTCCCTGACTCTTCTGCCCTCTCCACTCCACTATTGAACCCATCTACTATGTTTTTTATTTCAGTAATTATATTTTTCAGGTATAAATTTCCCTAAAGCTTTCTATTTCTTTGCTGAAGTTTTCTATTTCCTATTGCTAAGACTTTTATTACTTCATTTCTTTCAAGTTGTTCATTTCTGCTTGAAGCACTTTTATGGCAACTGTTCTTAAGTTCTTTTCGTATCATTTTAGTGTTCGCATCTGTCTTCCTCATTCAATTTGAGCTTTCCTTGATTCACGGTACTATGAGTGATGTTTTTCTATAATCTGGACACATAAGGCACTATATTATGAGATCCTATCTCTTATTTAAATATTCTACTTTAGCAGAGACCTGCCACTTCATCACTGCCAGGTGGGGTGGCTCTTCATTATGATTAGGTGAAGTTAGGAATGAGTTAGTGACCCAATAACCTCCCCTCATGACACCTGGTGGGGAGGAGAAGGAGCTGTTTCTATCTACCTGGGCTTTTCTGGGAGTAAGAAGATGGATTATCCTGGTTTAGTTGTGGTAAAATCCTAACTTTCCCTTAGGTCTCCTCTTATGATAATAATCACCCTGCAGGGATGAGGGATGAGGGACCAGCAGGGGTGGGAATCTAGGCTTCCCTAACCTTTGTAATGGATTCCATGAGGTGGAGCCCCATTTTTTTCTGTTATGTGTACTTTAAACAGAGTAGTTATTAAATGTTTTCTATCTTTCTAGGTTGCTCATTTCCTGCTTTGGAGCAAAGCTTTAGGCACTTGTTAAGAGTTCATATGTTTACACCCACAAGCATTTCTAAGATTCCTTCTTTTCTAGAACCCAATGTAAAAAGGTATCTCCTAACAAAAAATAAGCATCTAGGACCCCTTAGTCCCCTGGGTCCTTCACTGCTCTGTTTTCATTCTCTATCTCTTGGAGTCTGTTCATTTGTTGCATTTATGATGTCTTAGTTTTAGCTCTTTATAGTGGGAAGACAGGAAAAAGTGGTATATTCCATTTTACTATAATTAAAGAGCTGTCTTATTGTTTTTGAGCAACTATAACAAAATACCATAACTCATTTTAAAAAACATATTTATTTATCACTATTCTGGATGTGAGATGTCTAAGGTCAAGCACAGGAGGTTAGTTGTCTGGGGAGGGCTGCTTCCTGGTTATTAGAAGACTGCTTTCTTATTATGCCTGCACATCGTGGAAGGGGACAGGGAGCTTCAAGGCCACACACCAATCTCATTCATGAAAGCTTCACCCTTACAACCTAACCCCTCCCACCCTCCAGTCAAGGCTGAATATTTCAACATATGAATTTGAAGGAGGCATAAACATTCAAATCATAGCAAGAACTTTTGATAAATTCCAGAGATTTCATTGAACTGATTTGTACTAGAGCTGACACCAAGCGATGCTAGCATCCAGCAAAGGTTGAGAATCAACGATGTATCTCAAAATTTCAATTAACTGAAGAATTAAGGATATAAACAATTCTAGTTAAGTGAATGCATCCATTTACTCAGAAGAGCTTTTCATTATTTCAGTTTATGTTGTTGAAAGTCTTTGTAAAAGGTAAGTGTACCTCTGAACCTTTTCAAATGGGCATAATTGAATCCTGTAGATCAGGCACTGCCAATGTCATTATATGTGAACAATTCTTTGGGGACAAAATTCAATATAGGAGGCAGCTAAATGTAATTTTAAAACACCTCTGCAAGCTTAGTATTGCTTTTCTACAAATATCGAATAATTTCCTTTGTTTAGTTGCATTTTACCTCATAATTCAGATATAAAATCCAGTTAATTCTTACCTCTGATTTGTTTGATTGAAATTAATTGAAGTGCTAATCTTAGAATAATATGGTCATTTTCCAATAATAAAAGATTAGATAGTATAACTTATTTGCTAAATGTTAGTAGGATTGGAAAATATAGTATGTTTTTTATTCTTGAATGAATGGTAAAGGACTCTATAAATGATTAGTACTAAGTAGTTTTTTTTCTAATATCAACCCTGTGCCTAGGAGAAAAGTAGTGGGGAGACAGGCAGGGGAAGTCTTTAAAATATGGGAGGCCATGCATAAATAAAGCAATGGGGAAAAACACCTCAGTACAGAGCAAGGAGCACCTTGAGGGTTAGGAAACCAGAGAAGCTTGTAACAAAGAAATAGTTCCCTATTGTCCCTAGGGAACAAATGAATAGTTTCCTATTCCCTATTCTAATGATTCTCTGTGATCAAAACTGTATGTGAAAAGTTGTCTAGAGAAAATAAAAGTTCAGCAACCAAATCACTCAGCAGCTGAGAAATGGATAAGATGGAAGATGGTTTACCCCCCACTGCAGGGCACATGGAGAAGACTCAGAATTGTGATGGTCTGGGGACTGGCCATATAAATATCAGAAAGTAGAATGCTTATCTATCTGTCTGGATTTCCTGTGGTTCTTTTCTTAAACTGATCACTCTTTCTTCAGAGTTAACAAAACAGACCATATTTCATTCTGCATTTATTAAAACCTAAAGACTAGATTTCAGAATGTTCTCTGGAACGGGGTCTGTTCCACTCCAGAAGCTCTGACACTAAACTGTTTATGTAGAAGTCTCTAGAGTGCTAAACAGAATTCTGTGCATTCCTTCACACATTTCTCTGAAACTCACAAAATGGAGAGGGGTTCATGACATTGCTCACTAAATTCATCTACTGATGCTTAACTAATCACCCCCATGCTTTAAAACAATAATGTATTAGTGTCTTTCACAGGTATGTGCTGAAGGGACTCAGAGCTAGGCATTTCTTATTTGGGGTCCGTTGACATGACTGGCCTCTCAGTGAGGGCAGCAGTCCCAGCAAGGCTTGGTCAGGCCTCTCTCCCCTCCTTTTTCAGTGCAGCCTCTCATAGGGCTCTTAGTCTAGGGGTAGGCAGACTGTATGGCAAATTCACAGAGTTGTATGGAGATCCAAGCACAGACTGTACGTAAGACACTAGGGAAGTCACAAGGTGTCTCCCCATCCATACAGTATCACTCCTTCAGCATCCCATTGGTTTTACAGGCCAGACCTAATTCAACATCTGAGGGAATTCAGAGGACCTACACAGGGTTTAGTAAGTGGTCATCTTGGAGACTATTACCTCTGCACGTAGAAAAATACTCTGAAGAACATATTGCATATCAATCACATGGCTTTATCAGACATTTTACACTATACTACTCCTGAAGTCCCCCAGATGTGACTTTTTGTTTTTTTGTTTTGTTTTGTTTTTGTACCAGGGATCAAACTTGGGCCCTTCTGCTTTCGAGGCAGGCAGCAGAACCACTGAGCCAAATCCAGAGAGCCTCTGTGATAATCAGTGCTGTGTGTCTAGCTGGTGAGGCTACAGCAACACATTTATTCAAATACTAACCTGGATATTGCTATGGTAACATCTACAATCAGCTGACTCTAAATGAAGGACAGTATTCCACCTGTCTTACTTATTTTTGTCCTTGCTAAGACAAAATGCCCAACACACAAAGTTAAAGGAGGAAAGGTTTGTTTTGACTCACAGTTGGTAAAGGTTTTGATCTATATAGTCAGCTGGCCCCAAGGCAAAGTGGAATGGCAGAGGGTCATCACAGAGGAGAAACATTGGCAAACCATGGGCAGACAAAAGGAAGAAAAACAGCACAGTAATAAAGCAGCAGCAATCTTCTGTCTGTCCCCTATATTCCATTCAGGCTACCTGCCCCTTGGGCAATGCTACTCACACCCAGAGTGGTGTATCCTTAATCCCAGCATCAGACATTTAATCCCAATATCACACCCTAGATCCAGCCAGCTCCCAAAAGCCTCACATATGAGTGCAGGAGGCTTTAGAATGACACTAGATACAAGCCATAACACCACCTAATCAGCTGGAAGGTGCTTAAGAACATAACTCAAATTTCCTGAGGGAGAAAAGATGTCCCGTAGAGACTGCACCGTGACTTCTGCACTGATGTGGTCAGCACTAGCCTGCTTTCCAGCATCCAGACTTGCAGACTTTTACAGAATTACCTAGCTGGACCCACAATTGCATAAGCCAATTCGTTGAGATCATGACCTTCCCCCTCTTTCTCTTTCTGTCACACACACAAGCGAGCATGCACGCGTGCACGCGCGCGCGCACACACACACACACAAGCACTATAAGTATCCAGTCCTCATACACTGGTAAATTGCTTACAGATTATATGAAATGCTAAAGATCACCTTTAGGAAATCTAGACTTCTTCAAAAAGGAGTTGGATCCATATTTGATTATTAAAATATGACCTATTTTGAAAGGGATAAGTTGTTTAGAGATAAGCACATTTTGGCAGGAAATATAGTGGGTCGTGGCAAAAATAAGCCATCAGTGACACAATAGAAGGTGAAGTCTGGAGACCAGACCCAAGTAGAGAGAGACCAAAGTAGACAGAGACTTGGAATATGGATGCTAGATGATGGGGTAATGAGTGCTGCGGAAAGCAGTGTGGACAACCCACAAGGTGTGGGGGGAGCGGGTTCAGATAAGGATTGGCAAGAGACCTTTGTTCCTAGTAACTCAACCTTCCCCGGGGCTGTCGTACTTCTCTACCCCTTTCGTTTTAGGCTTGGCAATGGGGCACACTTTGCAATGTGGCACACAGGGAGAGCAAGCTGAGTAGAAACCTGGAGGTGATTGCATTCTGTGACTGTCATTCTCTCACCTCTGCACTCTGCTGAAGGAAATAAGGAAAGAGAGATCTAGGATGCTCACATAGCCTGCTTCCCAGATATAACAGATCCATGATTCACCCTCATCCTAGCACACAGCTACCAAGCCCAGAGCCACATACATGGGACCAGCCACCATTAGATGTGTAACAAGGGCACCAAAAAAGCCTTGATGTTGTGCTGTGTCTTCTGCAGTTTCACAACACAAAGCATTACATCTGCTTCATTCTTTGTCTTAGGAACTTTCCTTGCAAAAGTTTACTCCTTGTAACTGTTCAAATTAAAGCTACTTTGAAAGCTTCATGTGTTTCCACAAATCTAGTCATAATATCTTTATTATTTTACAGCCTTCAAAGATAAGATAATCTTACATTTGAGGAATCCAGAGAGTCCCTCATTTAAGAACAGCTGTGTTAAACATATTGGCCAAAGTCTTCTCCAGCAATCATAATCCGTGCAGCATTAATATTTCAAATTGCTCCTGCTGAAAGGTTAGTCCTCTAACACCCTTCTAGCTTACCAATATCCTGTAGGGAAATTAAAGGAAGGTTAGACTTAGCAGAACTCAGACTCAATGAAATATCTTTAAAATATTGTTTAGAAGATATGACAGACAATATGCAGCTGAGGAGTTAAAACAATAATGCAGTTCATAATACAATAAAAGTGCTGGAAAATGAAACTCTTACAACAAGGTTTTATGGCAAGAACTTTACGATTAAAGAAGTCATTTGATCCTATCCTCATGGCTTCATATAACCCCAGTATGGTTTTTGAAACCAGAAACTCAAATTTGGCCTCATTTGTACTGCTAAGAGGAGTAAACCAAAGGACAGGTGTGTCTAGGGGAACCCAGGAACTGTGAATGTACGTTGCTAAATTAGGCAGTGAGCAGTTAGAATGCTCCACAGAATATGGTGTTTAATTTCAAAATAACTAAAAGACTAAAATACCATGCTACATTTTAATCTCCCCTTTGATATAAATTATTTTTTGCTTTAGAAAATTAGTTTCAGAAGAAACACAAAGAACTTCCACATATCCTATAGACTGATTTCACCAACTGTATGTCTATTTATAGCTATACATTTGTTATATAAAACTTGTCAGTAAAGTTGAGATACTTTACTTTTTGCCTTTAAATACTTGTGTATATTTCCTAAAAGCAAAACTTTTTTATCAGAAACACAGTAAAATTAATGCTATAATCTAATCCACAGGGCAGATTCAATTTTTTCTCTCACCTCCCTTGTATTTTTTATAGCCCCCATTCCCCCCACCCCATGCTCAGTTGCTTTTTGTAGGCTTATCTATTTAGTTCCCTGTAACCATGAAGGCTTTCTCAGTCTTTGTCTTTCTTGACCTTGAAACATTTTAAGATTACAAGATAGTTATTTAGTGTGGAATCTCTCAGTGTGGGTTGACCTGATGTTTCCTCATGATGCGTTTCAGTTAAAGCGGTTAACAGGATGAACAGAGAAGGAATAGTGCCTTCCCCTCAATCCCTGACCTGGGCAGCCATGAACTTGCATTGTTTCAACATATAGGACATTAGCCTGATCACTTTGTGTTAGCCAGTTTTGAACACTATGAAGTCATTCTTTGTAATTTCTAAGTAGAGAAGCAGCTTATTATGCACATAACCTATTTCTCATCAAACTCCTACACACCAGTATTAGCAACTGTTGATAATTTTCTAAGTATATTTCTCCCACATTTGCAAGATGAAGTTCAAGTGTAAGAAAGATATTTATTCTTTTCTTTGACCTATGTATATATATATATATATATATATATGGATGTATGATAGTAGAGATGTATTAAAATATGTACATATGTATGTGTACATATCAGTGTAGACTTACAGAAATTTATTCATTGAATTATAATCCATTACTACCATTATATATTTGAGGATTATGTTGTCTCAGAATTGGCCAGTCTCTTTTAAGGGCTTCCTTTCTTTCTGGCATAATAAAATATATCAGATTCAACTCGTCTTTCTCTTCCCAGATCCTGCAGTTCTACTCAAAGATCTCCAGTTTCTTTAAGTATAGTACGATCTTTAGAGACCAAGAGCCGAGCACAGGCCCTCCAGCAGACGGGACATGTGTACACTGTCACACGCGGGCTTTTACATACCTACTTACAACTAGCTTTATTCTGAGCCCTCTAGCTCAGGGAAGCACACAAAATACAATCTAGCCCACGATCCACGCCTCTTTCTCCAGCTCCTGTGGTCTCCAGCACCTTTACTCACCCAGGGTTGGCAGACAACGAGGAACCAGGAAAAACAGTTACAGAATCATAGATCCAGACTCTGCAAAATTCAGACCCAAGAGCTGGAGTTGAATCCTGGTTTATGGTTTTGTTGCACATTGATTATTTTTTTTTATTGGTACATGTTTTCAGTATGACACGTTTACCTTCATCTTAGGGAGTAGGTACATGTACTTAACACATCTCCATTCTTTTTATTCCCCTTCTCCTCTCACCCACTTCCCTACCTCTGGCTCTAGACACCCTTTCCTCATTTTATTATTTTTCTCATTATTATTTTCATTGCTATTTTTCAGTTCATGTTTGTGACATATAACAATCACACTCATTGTGGGTATTTGGTACCTGGACACGACATGTGTTAAATCTTTTCACATCCCTCTCCCTACCTCAGTTTCTCAAGCCCCTTCCCACTTACAAGAAGATATTCCTTTCATCAGTCTATTATTTCACTCTTCATTTGTACTTTGATTTACTCAAATGATAAAAACTATATGACATTTAAGCTTGTGTGTCTGATTTATTTCACATAAGTTCACATTTTCCAGGTGAATTCATTTTCCTACAAATGTCTTGAATGTACCCTTCTTTACAGCTAAGTAGCACTCAATGATATGGCCATACCACATTTTCGTTATCCATTTCTCTGTTGATGGATATATAGGCTGCTTCTAGGACTGAGCTATATTGAATTGTGCTGCTAGAAACATTGGTGCACAGGTATTGCTGTAATATGTTTTTAGCTCTTTTTGAAAGATACCCAGAAGGGGAATAGCTAGGCCAAATGGAATTTCTGGTTTTAGTTTTTGAAAAATCTCCATATTTATTTTCATAATGTACTAGTTTACATTTCCACCCAAAATGTGGGTTTCTTTTTTACCACAGCCATGCCTGCAATTGTTATTATTTCATTTCTTGATAATTACTAGGCTTTCTAGTGTAAGGTGGTAGCTTAGCATGGTTTTGATTTTCCTTTCTTTAATGGCCAATGATATTGAATATTTTTATATGTTTATTGTCCATCTGTATTTCTGAGAAATATCTATTAATTTCACTCACCCATCTTTTAGTAGATGGGTGGTTTAATTTTTTAATTTTTTATATGTTCTAGATATTAGTCTTTGTTTAAGAAACTGGCAAAAATGTTTTTTAATTCTGTAGTTTATCTCTTTTTTTCCTTTGAAGTGCAGATTTTTATTTTGATATAGTCCCATTTGTTTTTTTGTTTGTTTGTTTTTTTGTTTCAGCTTTAATTGAGTTTATTGGTACATTTTAGGGATACAGTGCAGTTACATTCATTGTTGGGATCTTGTACCTCTACATGACAAGTCTTGATTCTCATTTTTTCCCCTTACCACTGCCCTCCCTTCACCCCCTCCTCCCCTCCCCATCTACAAACACTTTATTTTCATCTTTTCATTCTCTCACATTTTTTCTTTTCCCTTTTTACTCTTCCCCTACCCATCCCACCTTCCCTACACCTTTAGCTCCTTTCTTCCCATTTCTAAATGTCAGTAATCTTATTAGAATCTTATACATTGTTGCAGATTATTTACACCAGGGAAACTATTCTGTATTTACACATGTGTGACTTATTTATTTCACTTAGGAGTATATCGTCAATATGTATCCATTTTCCTATGAATGAATCTATTTTCTCGTTCTTTATGGCTGAGTAATATTCCATTTTATAGAAAAACCACAACTTCTTTATCCAGTTTCCAACAGATGGGCAAATAGGCTGTTTCCAAGATTTAGCTATTACAAACTGTGCCACTATAAACATGGGTGCACATATTTCTC